CGTTGGCATCTTGTGCTTGAATGCTTTTAAATCTCTTGAATTTTTAAATTGGCAAGTATTGTGTAATTTTATTGAACGTTATGTGAAAATAATCAGTATATAAATTAATATGCTGAATTATGTTAACCCTGGATGTAGTGATGGGGAATGATGAACGTATAATGGTCTTTTCAACCAGCATACCTTGAGTAAGCAAGGTTTGGGTTAATAAACCGAGAGTTCAGGGTTTAGCAGATGGTAAGTTAACCTTGCTTTCTGGAATACCCCTCCTGGTCAGGGTTTCACAGTAATAATGCAAAAATAGTGGCATTTACTGTTATTTCACTAAAGAAAGTTAACATACATGCTTATTCAGTCGCGTCTGTTTCTGTTTATTTCACAAGAAGCACAAAACAACACTGGGGCTATATGTTTTTATGTCCAAAAGCATGCACATAAAAACATATAAATTCTCATGTTTACATCACATTTCCTTGTTAAGAATGCTAATTTAGATCATTCTTCCACCAAATTATATGATCTGAGGAGTTTTTTGTGCACTCTCCAGTCCGCATTTATTTTTATAATTAATCAGATATTTTTTGTGGTAATAAAAATAGACCTAAGTGAAATACAGCCTTTAAAATGACTTGAAATGCATGTACAATAATGAGGTGATAATAATTGTTTCAAATAAATGATATAGCTGATATAGTTTTATTAAGCAAAACTGTTAAAATACATAATGTAATAAACATAATATAACCCACGTAGTGTTACGGATTCAGTACTTCCATTAGCGCCAGAGCCTGCAACTTCCTCCTTTTCATCTGTCAGTCTGTATAAAAGTTACTCCCAGTTGATCCTGCAAAGATACGACACTGTTATCTGCTAGTAAAGTCATTCCTGTGTTTTATCTACTTGCCAGAAGAAGAGATTTTGTTTTATCTCAATGGGACCTTCCTGGAAATATAAAGGAAAAATAAAAAATCTATGCTGAAATATTTAACTAAGTTGTTATAAATACCTGTGAACGCTCATCCTTTTGCCTGGTCTCCATTTTATGTCGTATGACCTATCTCTGGGTCACACAAACAGTTTTCTTCGGCCCACATACAGCAAAGAATGATGGCCCTCATGTGGCCCAGATCTGGAGTACATACATGAGCCATACTTGCTATTACAAATAATAACCCATAACCCACACATCAACCAATAGTTATACATCATCTCACAATAGGCCCCTCATACGGGCATTCAGTCATTTAACGACTGAAATTTGTAAACACTGCATGTGAGCAGAGTCAAAAGCAAATAGAAGCCATTATAAAAAAATGTGTCTACACTGACACAGTGTACAGATGCGCGTTCAGTTTCTGTCATACTCCATGCACTTGAGCCTGCCGACAACAGGAAAAATGGAAGATTGAAAGAACGTTTGATTTGATACGTCCAGTTTAAACAGCTGGTTTGTGTCTCTGTACACACTTCAGAGGAGCATTAGAAACAAGTGGATAGTTTATTTTAATGAAATCCTGGATTGCGTCAAATGATTATACATTTTGTATAATTTCATCTACGGAGACATTTACACAACACTGTTTTAACTAAAAACTAGGGATGTCCGGATCAAGTCTTTTTTCGAGTCATGGAATATGGAGTATCTGCCAATACTTGTCACAAGTATATTGTATTGCTTGAATTTTCCTAATGCTTGGTCCATACTTCAAGTGATAATTTCATTGACAAATAATTTGGCAACATTTTCTCACTAATGAAAAAGAGTCAATTAAATAAAAACAGTTTTGAATGACAGAACCTATGATGAAAATCTACTGTCTTTTGTGTCAATAAATGAAATGAGCTCAAAATGTCAGGGTGGGAGTCGAGGGACGATTTGGCAAGAGATCCAGCTAGAAATCATGTTTTGTGTGGTAGATGTGCACATTTGAATTGTAAACTGAATTGTCTGTTGTATCAGAGTGGTTTGCAATCAATTAATAGCGCATATTTATGCCAATCAATTGCTTATGGCCTAATGTTGATAAATTAGCAATGTTTACTTTATGATGATTATATGTTATTATGTTTTAGGTGAATGCAAGAACGCATATTTTATCTCCCTCATCTAAAACTGACATTTTTAAGTATACATTTTAAAGTAAGAGTCGCAGTGTATTTTGGGTTTGTTTATACGTCGCACATTATATAATATATAAACCTGATTAACAGATCGATAACCACAGGCACCAGGAAATTAAAAGATGACCAATCAAGACTTAAAACTATGCCATTGGAACGTGAGGACTATGTAACCAGGTATCACTGATGATCTTCAGCAAGTAATGGCTCATTTCCACTGAGTGGTACAGTATGATATGCATTTTTTTTTTCAATTTAATTGTCAGAAGCTGTGAATGGGACCAAAATAGCTAACTGTACCGTACCACTTTTTTGGGACCCTTCCATTAGGGTACCTAGCACAGTAGTTCGGTACCTAAAGGGTGGAGCTAGACGCAGAATGTTGATTGGTTGACAGAGAATTGTCACTTGTGTGTGCTAAAAGGGCAATGACAACACAAGAGACCCATTTTTTTTAATATACAGTTGAAACTCAACGTGTTCCCTTCACTCATTCCGCCATGCTGCTCATGCATGTTGGGCTTGTTTACATCATATTGCACAAACACAATGTCGCGCTTCTTTGCATGACAATGCTGTCAATCGCTACTTTGCGGCATACACCATGCCCATCAAGTAAGGGTACAGTTTGTGGTGGAAACGCAAGCCGGATCAGGGTTTACCATCCCGAATCGTACCATACCATAGCCACGGGAACTAGGGGTGCAATGCCTAGTTACCTCAGGGCAGGGTCTAAAGGGAAAGGAGGGGCAATGCCCACCAGATTTTCCTTGTGCCACTCGATCATCCCTAGGATACTTAATTTTTGTGATAGTTTTGTGATTAATTACTTATTAAAATGACCAGAAATATAGTGCGGTGGTACTTTTCTTGCGTGCCTCGTGGCGCGCATTCCTACATCTCCTCTCACACTGACAGAATTTCATGTGAAATGTTCACGCGATATTACCATAATTTTAGATTCCGACTTGTAAAAAGCATTCACGTTCTCGTCCTTTTTATAAGCCAGCTTCTGAAGCCTTCTCGCTTCTCAAGACGGCCACCGACAATCACATGAGCACAGCTCTCTAGTTTCTATAGTCAAACGCGCTCAAACCACTGTAGCCTAATGTAATCTATTAACTACACACTTCATAACGTTTTAGGCAAGTACCATGTTATGTCATAAAATATTTTAATAAGACTAAATTTGTATTAAATCTGATCGCATTTAATAAAAAGACATTTTAAGTTTAATTATAACGCTGCATGTCCATGATTATTCAAACAACGTACAAATTATACAGCGAGCAAAGAACATTTACATTATCGAAGTACATTATCACTGAATTCAGCCTAGCGCAAATGTAAGGACTCTAAATAATAGCTCCAGTTATAATAAGGGAAGCTGTCTGCAGTGTATGATGAATGAATCTCTTATTTACATCGCATGTACTAACTACATCTGCACATTGTTGTTTCTGATGAGAGAATTCGCCAAAGTGCAGAATTCAGTCAGCGAGTGTGCGCACTGACCAAAAACATGGCGTATCAGCCATGTTAATATTTAGAAAAGCCATAAGTGAAACTCAAAAGACAGCAGTTATCAACAAGAAGCTACAGAGGATGCAACTAGACATAGTTGCTCTTCAGGAGACCAGGGGGTGTATTTCAGAAACTTTCTTATCTTAGGTCTTAACTTAAGATATGATACGTTAAATTAGGATTTTTCGCAAATTCGTATTACAGAAGCAAATCTTAACTTGATTTTGGGATTCTTATCCTATCTTACAAAATTGTATCTTATCTCTAGTTAGGAAATCTTAAATGGCATCATCAAGTTCGACAATCCACTCTCAGGTCTGTTACCAAGCAACCAACATTGTGTTGGCTGATGAGGTAAACAAAATGAATAAACAAAGCTGGTGAGCTTTTAATTTCAGTGGCATGGAAATTGAAACTATGATAAGTTCGGTAGAAATGGCAAAGCCAATGCTATTTTTGCACTGCACATTTATACTGTGAAGAATTTTTTTATTATTATTATTGTCAGTTTATGCAGTAGAGCATAAAGTATCAGTTGCTGCATTCACATCCAGAGATGAGAAATGGGTAGGTGAGGGAAAAGAGGAGGATACTATGGAGGAAAGATGGGAGGGGGAAAGGGAGCGTAGGTTTAGTCTAAAAGTAACCGGTTTAGGGGTTGGTGCCACACAGGTAGCAAAATGTAGTCTAAATGTAATGAAGAAATGGTCAGAGATATGTAGGGGTTTTACCAAAATGTTGTCTGCAATACAATTGCGTTTGTAAATTAAGTAAAGTTGGTTGCCTGATTTGTGCGTGCTTGTAGTGTAGTGGTAAGTCGTTTGAGATCAAAATGAATTCAAGCAGCAGATCTATAAACAAGTATTACGCAAAACACTCACGCGCAGCCGTCTGTCTCTTCTGTTGACTAATCGCTTCTCCCAAGTTATGACAGTGACCAAGCAGTTTAAATACTCCACAGTCGCTGTGGCCGCCTTCTAATTAGCCCAGCCAATAGCCTATAGCAGGGCAATTGCTCAAATCGAAACTACAGTTCGCATTTAAATGCAGGAAGGGAGCAATGCAAATAACACAGGCTCCTTCTTAGCCGAGGGCAATTATTATAATTACCAGTAAGTGCAATCAAAAATACAAACTCCAACGAAAATACAAAGTAGAAATAGGCAGAAAACGAAATATTCCTTCCTAGCAGCAAGTAATAATTCATGTCAATAATTCAATTTTTATTCAAAAATCGAATAAAATCAAGGATTTTATGGCAAGTTAGGAGGTTTCTGTAATACCCCCTTCCTATCTGTAGTTAAGATAAAATAACGCACCTAGGAAATGCTGTTCTGTAATAGCCTCTGTCCTAAATGTGGTCCTAACTGAAATCACCATGGTTACCAAACAGATAAGATCAGATTTAAAAGTTAGGATCTTTCTGTAATACACCCCCAGGTTCCCGGGTTTTGGATCCATCAGGGAGAAGGATTTCTCCTTCTCCTGGCAGGGCAAGTCAAAAGAAGAACAAAGCGAACATGGTGTAGACTTCACAATTAGAAAGAGTCTGCTGGGAAGAATTGCTCATATAATGTGGGATATGGGATCTTAACGAGTCCTTTCCATACAGCTTTACACAGCAGGACTAGTCAGCATTATTAGTGCTTATTCACCAACTCTGACTACCGCAGCTGAAGCAAAGGACCAGTTCTACAATTATCCCAACATTGCTGTCAACGGTGTCTCAACAAACAAGCCACTGTTCATTCTCTGGGATTTCAATGCTAGAGTGGGCACTGTCCACAACTCCTGACCAATTTGCTTGGGTCAGTTTGGTCTTAATCAGTGGTTCTCAAAGTGTGGTTCTCTGGCGGGCACGGGCCATCAGCAGAAAAAGAAAAGAAATAAAAAAGTAAACAGCCAAAGGACGTAACTTAGAATGGGAGATGGATCGGTGTGTGAAAGGGAAAAGAAAAGCCATAGATGAAGTCGCTCAGACCCAGGCAGGTGCTAGTCATTCAAAAGCTAAATGCAGAAAATATGACGAGGAATATCTTGCTATCGGCTTCACTCACCGTATCTACACCAGACGCTAAAGTTGTTGCGTCGCGCCGCAAGTCTACACTGGACGCGACAAAGCGACCGTTGCAAATCATTTTAACTTTGTGTCAGTACGTCATAAATAGAACAAGGCATCAGTTTAACACTAGAACCGCCACGGGGTAAATTTTACCAGTGGATGTTTTTAAAACGTACATAAAATATTTTTAATAAAACATTCAAGTCTCCCAGTCACTGACTTTTACTAAAATTGTGTGATTTACAATCCCCTGTTGTTAAAAACTGTTTAGATAAAACCAGATCAAAAAACAGGTCATTTATACCTCTAAGCGCCAGCGCGGGTCAAATTTACCCGCTATATAATGCCTGTATGTTCGTGCTGTCATTTTCGTGCCGCTTATGTTTTAACATAGTAGCCTACATTGCTAGGCAATGCCTTTCACTCACTGAATTAGCGGTTATCAGTTTCATAAATAAACACAAAATGAGTAAAAGAAGGCGATTTATGAATGCTGAAGAGGTATAAGAAGCACTAAATGCCATGAGCGATGGAGAGTCTGATGGTGGGGAGATAAGTAAAGCGTCCTGTCGGCTCAGCATCTGACGGCGATCAATATATCATATTTAGACGTTTTATCCTAATGTTACTCATAATTGTTCAAAATTTGGATTAATTATTTAATTTTTGTTTTGCCATTTCTATCATTTATTGTTCGCTTCTGTGTTGCTATGTATTCTAGTCTGCCTGTTTCCTGAAGAAAAAAAAATGGATCTGATGTAATGAATAAAAACTTTTTTTTGATTTATTGGTGTTCTTCTTGTATAATTCAATTATGAAAAGTGACTAGTGTAGCCTGCATAAAAAAGCCTTGAACATAAAACAACAGGACAAAAATATAGTTGATGACTAGACAGTCATTTCATGACTCTAGACACTTCTTTGTGAAGACATTAGCATAATACAGTGAAATAATATGTTCTTTAGCCATTCAAAAACAGCTGTCATGTGCGTGGGTAAAATTTACCCGCTGGCACTTTTAGGTATACAGCGACCTCTGGCGGTTCTAGTGTTAATGTCGGGAATTTGTCGTGTCGCACCGCATCCAGTGTAAACGGAGTCACTGATTATAATGGGTTCTACTGTATTTTGCCGCTTGCGTCCGGTGTAGATACAGTGTTAATTTCGTTGGTGAGGAGGAAAGGCCTGTGTGTGTCCTACGCCTTAGCGGACAGCATAAAACCCACAAAATATATATATATATATAAATAAATATGAAAAAACTACAGAGAGAATAAGAATAATAACAGTTATTCTCTGTATGCTATTTTTCAATGTGTCAAGTGTTTGCAGGTGTTTTTTTTCCACTGTAGATTTTTTAAATTAAAAGAAGTATTAATTTTTCATAATATTTATTTAAATTATTTGGTAGTCTGAGGTGAGATGGGGATTCAGGAAGGGGGGGGGCATATTTTTTTTTAGGTTTAAAGGGGGGTGCGACCAAAAAAGTTTGAGAACCACTGGTCTTAATCGAGTTATTTGGTAGTCTGAGGTGGAATGGGGATTCGGGAAAGGGGGTGGGGGGCAGATTTTTTTTTATAGGTTTAAAGGGGGGTGCGACCAAAAAAGTTTGAGAACCACTGGTCTTAATCGAGTTCTGCTGCCACCAAGGCCTGGACATCAACACCAACACTTTTTATAAACACCAAACCACAGCACAGAGTTTCCTGGAGACACCCAAGGTCCAAGCACTGGCATCAGTTAGATCTGATTCTGACCAGGCGTTCAGTGCTGTCCAGTGTTAAGCTTACACACAGCTACCAGAGTGCTGACTGTGAAACGGATAACTCTCTGGTCTGCAGTAAGATCAAGCTGCGGCCAAGCAGACTGCATCACACCAAAAAGGAAGGTAGGCCATGGATTGACACCAGTAAGACACAAGACCAGGACTGAGTGGAATAGTTTGCATGAGCACTGGAGGACATCCTTCCAGGCAAATTAAACAGCAATGCCAGTGAGATGGCAACACATCAGGGATGCTATGCTTGATACTGCCATTTCCATTTTTGGCAAGAAGACCAAAAAGTAAGCAGACTGGTTTGAAGCCAATACCGAGGTGATGATGCCAGTCATTGAAGGAAAGAGACATGCACTGGTCAGGTTCAGCAGGTGGCTCGCTGAGGTGCCAATGATTGTGCTTTGCTCCCAGATACAGTGTGCCACAGATTCTGGAAACATCAATGTTCCAAAAACATTCATGACAGCATCAAAAGAAGACTCCACACCTCAAGTTCATCGCAGGGAAAATAATACAAGACCGGGCTAAGCAGATTGAGAGGTGGGTGGAGCACTACTCCGAGTTACATGCCAGGGTGCATATGGTCTTTGAGGAAGCCCTGGATTCCCCTGAGTGCCTGCCTGTGCTGGCTGAGCTGCATAGGGAACCCAACCTATAGGAATTGAATGCAGCACTGGACCTCTGGTAAGGCTCCTGGCAATGATGGCATTCCTGCAGAAGTCCTGAAGTGCTGTAAAGAAACAGTGCTCAGTAAGCTGCATGAAATCTTTTGCCTCTGTTGAAGAGAAGGCACTGTGCCACAGGTTATGAGGGTTGCAAGCATTGTCACAGTCAGTAAGAACAAGGACATCTGAATCTATTGTAATAAATATTGCAGCATATCTCTCCTAAGCATAAAAGGGAAGCTGTTCACTTGAGTTGTCCTTAAGCACCTTCAGGTCCGTGCTGAGAGTTTATCCAGTGTCCCAGTGTGGGTTCTGAATCAACAGATCCAATGTCAACATGATCTTCTCACTCCGACAGTTACAGGAAAAGTGCAGGGAGCAGCCCCTTTATGTGGCCTTTGTGGATCTCACCAATGCCTTTGATCTTGTTAGCAGAGATGGCCTCTTCAAGATCTTGGTCAAGATAGGCTGTCCACTAACTCTCATCAGCATCAAGAAGTCCTTCCATGATGACATGAAGGAAACTGTTGTCATTGATGACTCAACTTCTGATGCCCTTGACATACAAAGTTGAGTGAAACAGGGCTGTGTTTAGCTCTCACACTCTTCAGCATCATTTTTGCTGTCCTATTGAAGCACACCTTTGGGTCTACTACTGAAGGGATATACCTTCGTAAGAGGAAAGATGGAAATTTTAAAAATGTCAGTACCGACTGTTACCAAAATCAGTATTTTTGACACCAAGTCACAGCAGTCTAATATACCTCCTGTTGCCCATCATTAATCATGTAACAAAAGAAAAGGAGAAAATCACTTAATGCTCTTTAGTGAATAACTTCATTAGCTTTTTAAAGGATTAATCTGCGTTTAATTTATACAATGTCTGCTTGAAAGAATGAATAATATTGTCTGTATGTTGTTATAAAGAATGCATATATCATTGATTGAAAAGAAGATCATGTTCTTCTTTGAGAAGTGGTTTTATTTAATTTTAAGATAAATAAAGACGTTATATGTCACAGCAGTTAAATCTGTCTGTATTGCATGTTCAAACCATGTCATTCATATGAACAGATTTATAGATGTTTCTAGAAGTGAATTAAGTTTGGACATTTTTGAGAAATGCTTAAGGGTTGGTTCACCCAAAAATGAAAATTCTGTCATTAATTACTCACCCTCATGTCGTTCCAAACCCGTAACACCTTCGTTCATCTTTGGAACACAAATTAAGATATTTTTGATAAAATCTGAGAGCTCTCTGTCACTCCGTAGACAGCAATGCAACTACAATGTCCCCAGGTCCAGAATCGTAGCAAGGACATCGGTAAAATAGTCCAGTAAAATTGGAGAGTATCCACTGAACGTAAACAACGTAAGCATTGTTTACGTTTAGCATGTGCACGCTTTTGCTGAACGTAACCAGCGTTATGTTCAGTAGACAGCGTGCGCATGCTGAACGTAAACGACGCTGATTATGTCGTTTACGTTCAATGGATACTCTCCAAAATGGTGGAAGACGGTAACTCAGGGAGAAGAATTGTTGAATAAATTATGTTATTATTGTTTTCTTTGCGCACAAGAAGTATTCTCATAGCTTCATAAAAGTACGGTTAAACCACTGAAGTCGCATGAACTATTTTACAGATGTCCTTGCTACGTTTCTGGACCTGGGAACATTGCAGTTGCATTGCTGTCTACGGAGGGACAGAGAGCTCTCAGATTTGATCAAAAATATATTAATTTGTGTTCCGAAGATAAACGAAGGTCTTACGGGTTTGGAACGACATGTGGGCAAGTAATTAATGACAGTATTTTCATTTTTGGGTGAACTAACCCTTTAATACATTACAATTTAACTAAACCCATTAGACTTTATTTGACTAAATTTACTGTTATACATACTCTTATATGTAGTTGACAGTAGAAAGTAGATTAAAACAATTCAGATGATTACAATATGACAAACTAAATGGCATTTCATACAAAAGGCTATGACTAAATCTAAATCAAAATTTGTTGTCAAAATTGACACTGCATACTTCAAGTACATTAAAGATATTAAAATCAATAAAATGTATATAACAGTGAATAAATGTTTTACAAGTGACACGCCCCCTGATGCTGATTGACTGCAAGTGTGTTGTGGGGCTTGGTCTGATTCACATTCAACAGCTTTCTCAAAAATTGCATACTGAACCTTTAAATCACCTTACTGCAAATTGCAGATAAGCTTTGAAACTCGTTTTCCATTTAAAACTCTTCTAACACAGATGACTTCGCTTCAGTGTGAATTCTCATGTGACTATTAAATACTTGCTTACAGATTAAACACTTTCCACACTGAGAGCAAGTAATAAGCTTTTTCCCAGTATGAATTAACATGTGAGGCTTCTTTTACATGTGAAAGTTTTTCTACACTAAGGACAGGTGAAAGCCTTTTCTTAAGAGTGAATATGCACATGCACATTAAGTTGTCTTTTTTGAGAAACTCTCTCCAAATTAAGAGCAGCTGAAAGGTTTTATTCCTGTATGAATTAACATGTGACCCTTAAGGCTTGCTTGACATGTGAAAGTGTTCCCACACTGAGAGCAGGTAAAAGGCTCCTCTGAGGTGTGCATGCGCACATGCACATTAAGTTGTTTTTTTTGTGTGAAACTCTTTCCACACTGAGAGCAGGAGAATGGCTTTATTCCAGCATGATTTAACATGTGATTCTTAAGGGTTTCTTTACGTGTGAAAGCGATTCCACACTGAGAACAGCTAAAAGGCTTTTCTGAGGTGTGCTTGTGCACATGCTCATTAAGTTGTTTTTTTTGTGTGAAACACTTTCCACAATGAGAGCAGGTAAAAGGCTTTATTCCAGCATGAATTAACATGTGATTCTTCAGGCTTCCTCTACGTGACAAAGTATTTCCACACTGAAAGCAAGTGAAATTCTCTTCTGAATTGTGAATAAGCACATGCTCATTGAGTTGTTTTTTTTGTGTGAAACTCTTTCCACACTGTGAGCAAGTAAAAGGCTTTATTCTAGCATGAATTAACATGTGATTCTTCAGGCTTCCTCTACGTGACAAAGACTTTCCACACTGGGAGCAGCTGAAAGGCTTTTCTGAAGTGTGAGTTAGCAAATGATCCTTAAGGCATCCTTTATATGTAAAACTCTTCCCACACTGTGAGCAGACAAAAGGCTTTATTCCAGCATGAATTAACATGTGATTCTTCAGGCTTCCTTTACATGTAAAAATCTTCCCACACTGAGGACAGGTTAATTGCTTTTCTGAAGTGTGAATTAGCATATGCTCATTAAGAGTTCTTTTCTGCGTGAAACTCTTTCCACACTGAGTGCAGCTGAAAGACTTTGTTCCAGTATGAATTTTCATGTGATTCCAAAGGCTTCCTTTATGGCTGAATGTGCTTCCACACTGAGAGCAGGTGAAATACTTTTTTCCCATATGAATTAACATGTGATTCTTCAGGCTTCCTTTGCGTGTGAAAGTGTTTCCACACTCAGAGCAGGTGAAAGGCTTTTTCCCAATGTGAACAATCATCATGTGCGCGTCAAGGCTTCTTTTCTGTTTGAAACTCTTTCCACACTCAGAGCAGGTGAAAGGTTTTATTCTATTATGAATTCTCATGTGATTCTTAAGGTATTTTTTACAAGTGAATGCATTTCCACACTCACAGCAGGTGAAAGGCCTTTTGACTTCTGTTACTTGAATGTTGCTTTGCGAGCAACTGTTTTCAGTTTTGGAGCAACTCACTGATTTTTCTCCAGTGGTGACATAAGTTTTCTGATGCTGATGCTTCTCCTCCACTTCATTCAGATCTTGTCTTTCCTCTTTCACTTTTATCAGGCCTAAAATGAAAACATTAAAGTGATGAAAATCAATTGGAACATTTGGAAAACAAAAGGAAATTAGGGTGCGTTCAGCACAACAGCAAGCAGAACATTTTTTTCTTTGCATTTTCTTTTTTAAGTTTTGCATACAGATGACAACATTGTCAAAACAATCCCTGTTCACACGGATCCATGAAAACTAAACTAAAACACTATATTATGCTGACAGGCCAGTAGATGGCAATGTCACTGTAAAGAAACACTGGGTGCTTCTCATTTCTTATTTGTGCATCTTCCTTTCCTTTCCTCGAGTCTTAGCTCCACCCCCCTTAGGATATGAGGGAAGGATGCAAGGAAAGGAAATGAGGACAGAGGAATCAAAGGATCAACACTGGAATATTCTTGACCACTCAAGCGTCACTTCAAAGTGTCATCAGCAGCACTAAAGGGATCTGCTCTTATATTGTTAAAGTTTTCTATTTAAGGCATTCATAATAAATATCAATAAAGCAAGATGCTCTATTGAAAAATATGACATGTATGGTTTATTTAAACTGCAAAGATAAAATATAAATGTAAATTATTACGACAGGTGTGAAGGGGGAGGATAATTTATATGTGCATCAGTTTTTTTGCAGAAAAAGACTTCCGCATAGGAAACACCCGTGTATCCTCGCTCATGACTCCTCAGGAAGCCTCCTTGCTAGGGCTGGGCAGTATATCGAGTTTGTACGATATATCGATATTTTCTTTATAAGCGATTCGATATGAGGCAATACCGTTTATATCGATATACAGTAGTTTGATATGAGCGCATCTGAAAATATAGCGGAGGACACAGACTGAGCTGCTGTGGAGAAAGTGCATAATCCAATTTGTTCTAAACATGTGACAAGCTTCATATTAAGGCCTTTAAAAACTGGTAAGACATAGTTTATAGTTCCAGTTTTAAGTGGCTTGGCCCGTCATATGCTCTGACAGAAAGGCTGTGTGTGCCGCTGACAGAAACGCTAGGCTACTCGCGCTGTTTAATGTGTTTGAGATGTGCTGTTTTCCTGAATGCATAACATACATTTCACAGGTATATTCTCCATCTGTAAATGTTAGAAAGCCATGGAAATATTTCCATTTTTATGTCAGAAGTGCATGAGCCTTCTGCTTTGGAATTCTCCGCTAAACTTTAGTGAACGAGCGCCGCCGCTTTTGTTCTCATTTTTCATTTTTAGTTTAGTGAATTTAACTTCCGATTTAAAAGCCTTATTTTTTTAGATTGCAATGTTACAATGAAAAGTGATTTTAACCCTTTTTGCACATAATATAAAGGCTTACATGGTTACTTTCACTTTATTTGTTTTCATAGCCTTTAATATGTATTGTTTTGTCGGACAACATTGGGCAGTAAGTGAAATATATATATATATATACGCCGTGGCGACGTGACGCCTACATTTTCTGTCCAATTGCATTTTTTCAGTTAAAAATTGGTTTAAATGCATAAAAAAGATGCCATATATATGAAGGACCTCTCCCATGTATGAACTCACTTTAACTTTTCAAAAAACATTAGCTATTTGTAATTTTTCTGTTATTCAAAGTGTCAAAATATCATGTGGTGCGACCGTCCGGCCATAACTTTTTTTTTAGTAAACATCTTTGAAATTACCCTAAATTAATTCAAATTAATTTTATGCACTATTTGGCATGATTTCCAAAGTGTTTTGTAATCCTGTGTAAAATTGCAAAGCATTTATATTTCCATCATAATATAAAAACAAACTTTGTCCGATGATGTCAGTTTTATGAAATATCATGTGGTGCCACCATCAAGAAACTACCATTTTGGGACTTTTATGTTAAAATCCATTCAAAGGTAGGACTTTACATCATATACCAATTTGCTAAAGACCCATGGAAGCATCAAGCAGGTTTAGAAGTCTCTTTTAAATTTGGAAAAAAATAACCTTTTTAACGGCTGGTATGTAGTTACCACATTTGGATATCATGTGGTATGACCTCAAAAAACAATGAATATTAAGTTATTTCTGCAAGTATTTATTTTCATTATAAATTTCATAGTGACCTTTTGTGGGAAGCTAGCTTGTTTTGTCTAGGTGGCCAATTCTGTGCTTGTAAATTTTGAATGAATTTGAAAATATCATGTGGTGCGACCAAATATCTTGTGGTGCGACCACTGCAGAGTGTATTCCATTATAAATATATGTCCCAGATTGGCAGTTTTTCTGCTTTTATATTCAATTGATGGTTTATATACATAAAATATCTTATTTTAGTATAATTTGGAATAGATTTTTATGCAATTTGGGTCATTTCAGACTGCAGAAATGCAAAAAAATAATAAAATTCATAGCATGTAATTTTATTCAGGTAATGATGCATTTATTATTTATTTATTAATAACTATTTAAATTTATTCTGCCAGATTCCACTGCCAAGTGTTACATTCCTCCCGTCTAGGGTCAGGGATGGATGAAACAAGGAAATTTACGAACAAAGCCAGAAGAAAAGAAAGAAATAACAACCTATATTGTAGAAACTGTATTCTACAGGTTTTGCTGCCGAAACTTAAAAGGATACACATCCTTGACTCCACTGACCTAGTGGTTATGGAGATACTGACTGTGTATCCATGTTCAGGTTTACATACTCTATAATTCTGTGTTACATACCTCCCCTGTCTAGGGTCAGGGGTGGTCGAAACAAGGAAATTTGCAAATGAAGCCAGAAGAAAAGAACAACTTTTCAACCGGCAACCTGGAGGTCTTCTCTCCTGTCCCAGCACTCCACAGAAAATCACACAGACTTTTGTAACGGTCTAGAAAATTGGTTTATTTAACAATTTCAAAAAAGTACTAAGCATGGAGCAAATAAAGCTTCGGGAGGGGACAAGGCCAAAACAACAAACATAACAGGTCTAATTTACAAAAGGGGTACTTTCTAATCTCTCAAAACACAATTCTAAATAAACAACAAAAGTCTTACCTGACTCCCTTTCTGGCCAAAAACATGGACATTAAAAGAAACGGCATCCTCCTCCCTACTGCTCAAAAAGTAATTATAAACTTTTGGCTTAAATCTGAAGTTGTGAGTTTACTTGCACAAAACAAAGTAACAACGTCTCTCCAAAGCTTCAAAGTTATACAACAACAACAACAACTAGCACACATGCAATTGTCTGGGGCAGGTGAAAACAATCTCCAGAGGCCAAGAAGGGCACCGCTTTCACACAGAGTTTCCAGCTTTATCCACACACTCTCCCTCCAGCAGCCAATCAGAGCAAGTCAGTAGTTGATGACAATTAGGACCAGCTGATCTTCATTAAGCTTTGCATGGAGTAGAGAGAAGAGAGAGAGCGCAAGAGAGAAAACAAAACACTGCCAAAAGACAAACTATCAACATAGCAGCAATATCAAATACTGCCCAAATATAACACCAAAAAAAACAAATAAAATTAAAATAATTACGCCTTGGGACATAACACCCCCATCATCAAATTTACAACCCATGGATTGTAAACACAATGTCTCTTCAGCATCACAGGCTCTAGAGAGTGCATCCGCCACCACGTTCTCCGAACCTTTCTTATGTTGAATGTTCAAATTGTATTCTTGCAGACAAATTGACCAGCGCATCAAACGGTTGCACATGCGGGAAAAAAAAACTAGAGGGTTGTGATCAGTATAGACAACAAGAGGCATACAACTACCACCCACGTAAACTTCAGAATGTAACACACTGGATGTTCTACTCCTGCACCGTCCTCCTGCAGCAGGACAGCACTTACATCCACTTGTAGCTTAAATGGAAAATAAAAATTAGGGGCAGAGAGAACTGGAGCATTACAGAGAAGTTCTTTGGCAGCAAGAAAAGCATTCTCAGACTGAGGACTCCAAACAAATTTCTTCACAGAGCTAAGTAGGTCAGTAAGGGGGAGTAACAACTACGGTTGAAAATTTTTATTAGTATCCCACCATTCCAAAAACCGGCGTAACTGACGCTTGGTAATGGGAGCAGGAAATTCAACAACAGCAACTACTTTAGCTGTTACGGGTCTTACGCAACCTTGACCCACCTTTTTCCCAAGGTAAGTTACCACAGCTTTAGCAAACTCACATTTTGCTAGATTCAGAGTTAACTTGGCATCATTCAACCTGCTAAACACTCTCTCCAAGCTGTGGATGTGGTCTTCCCAATCACCTGAATAGACCACAATGTCATCCAAGTAGGCTTTACAGTCGCACAATCCTGACAAAACTTTCTGCATGAGCCTCTGGAATGTGGCTGGGGCATTTCGCATCCCAAAAGCCATACAATTGTACTGCAGAAAGTTGTCAGGGGTGACAAATGCAGAAATTTGTGCAGAAATGCAGAAAAAATGCACGTGCAGTTAAAGGGACCTGCCAATAGCCCTTTAATAGATATAACTTTGTGACAAACTTTGAAGCACCAACCTTATCCACGCAATCGTCCATACGGGGTAAGGGAAAAGAATCAGGCTTTGTGATGCTATTTATCTTCCGATAGTCAGTACAGAAACTAAATGTAGAATCGGGCTTTGGGACCAGCAGGCATGGAGAACTCCACGGGCTCTGGCTAGGTACAACCAGCCCGTTTTAAGCAGGTAGTCTACCTCAGTCTTCATGATCTCTCGTTTTGCAGGATTTACTCTGTACGGGTGCTGTTTGATAAGGACAGAGTTACCTACATCAATATCATGAGATAACACTGTGGTTCTTCCTGGAATATCAGAGAACAGTTTGGGATATTTTTGTAACAATTTTACAACATCTTCCCGCTGATTCTTTGGCAAGTATGACAAATGTGATTCTATTTTACCCAACATGGCAGAATTATTCAGACGCACACCAGGAGTCAGCCAGCAACAAATCTTCATCAACAGGAACACAGTCGGGAACTACTGTAACACAAGGTTTACACTGTGGTGCAGAGAGAAGTGTTGGTTTAGTTAAGTTTCGTGCAACATAGGACTTCAACATATT